ATACGTTTTAAAAATTAAATATCAAAATTTGATTCGATGAACAATCAGATATTTATAGCCAACGTAAGAAACAAAATTTTTTCTTTAAACGGATATATGGAAAAATGAAAAATGTGCAATCAATAAACAAATATAATTATAAATATTTATTCGTGTTCATACTGACTGGATCACTTTGTGGAAATCCTCGAGTAGGAAACTTGCAAAAGTCTTTAATCATGATATCCTTGATAAGATCGGGATCTTTGACAACCAAGGCGGGATGCGTTTTCATAAATACACCGACCAAAGCTTCGTTTTTAAATTCATTGTACACCCTCGTTAAAAATTGGAAAGGCGCTTCCTTCCCCAAAACTATCATCAAGACATTGCCGAATCCAGGTAGAGGCTCCGGTCCAGGTATACCACGAATTTTCCAAAAATTGTTTCGAGCCGTTATATAATAGTAGAATGCAATGAGTATTACTATTATGCCACAGAAAATTTCCAAATTGGCGATCATTTTTTAAATTTGAAATTAAACATTAATCTGCAGTGAACTGAAAAACACAAATAATTAATAAATAATTATTAAAATTTAATTTAACGTAATACAACAACAAAATGAATGATGAAAAACGAAAAACAAAATTTTTTTTTCAAAAACTTTCAAAAAAAATAGAAACGATACAATTATATTACGAAATAATATTAATCATGAAATAAATCCAAAAATTGTCTGTTTTATAAAAACAGCATAAAAAGAGAATAATTTCCATTAATTCCATAAATTTTTATAAAAAAATTATTTGGATCTTAAATTTTAATGTACAATATTCGAATTTATTCTCGATATATAATATATATATATATTTTTTAATTATCAAAACTTATAATACACTTTAAACTTATATTTTTGAATCTAAATTAAAAATTCACGATTCGATCTTCACTTAATAAACTATTTTATTATCATAAATCTGATTGCATATCCGAATATCCAACGTAAGTAACATCCGATATTAAGAATTAAAATGGAGAGTATTCGAATTGAATATGAATAATTGCTAAATTTTAATTGAATATAATATCTAAATTGCAATTATTAATATTTACTTATTGTACTGCTCGGCGTGTAGATTCCCTATCCTAATACTACACCGAAGGCGGTTCAACATTCACTGCAGATTTGTCAAACAATTTATCAGATTTATAATATCTGTTAGATAATTATGTATAATTACACATACACATATACATGTATAAAAATGACATATGCTTACGTAGATTTTTTGCTATATAATATAAATAGAATAAATAAAAAAAAATATATATATATATATAATAATATTATCGATATTATCTTCTACACTTTTTAGATTTAATCTCATATTTTCATTTTTTATTTGTTGAATTTCTGCATAGATTCGTGGCGTTTGTTTTTCAATTCATGGTGAATTTAATTGAAATTTTATAATTTTGCAGTAGTGTCATTGATCTTTCACATTGTATATAAGACAAATTAAATAAAAAAAAGAAATGTTCGAAATTACACGAAAAAATATTTCGTATGAAAGTTGTAATTAATTTCAAGGAGAAAATAATTTCTTCTCTTTCTCTCTCTTTCTCTTACTCTTACTCTCTTTCTACAGTTTTTTGTAAATGAACGTACAAAGATCAAATTTATTTCAATAATATAACGCTTTCAAATATAACATTCGATTCTAATCATTTTTTATAAAAAAAATAATAAGTTATTAACACTGTTAGAGATTTATATCATTTTCCAATATTTAAATTTTTATAATACAAGATATTGATATATTTTCGTGAAAATTAGAATGTTTTCTGTCAAAATAAAGGGAGAAGTTGTTATGTAAAAATTATTTTAAAAATTATTCGCGACATATTTATGAATCAATTTTTCTATTTAATTTGGCTTTTAGGATCAAACGTCTTTCAAACATCTTCCATAATTAACGTCTATCCATAATTAATATATTAGTAGTTATATTGAAAACAAAAATGATTTGGTAGTAGCTTCCTTTGACTTTTTTCTTAATAAAAAAAATCTTCTCTATAATTATCTGCGCATGATATGGTTTAACTTTTTCCTAGATTTTTGTTATTTTTTTTAAAACTGATTTTTATAAAAACTATGAAAAACTTTTTGGAAACAATTAGTTATTATTCAATATTCAATATTATTGAAAAATGATTATTAAAGATTACAAAATCATCGAAAAAATATTAAATTTATCGAACAATGCTAATTTAATTAATGCTGTGAAATGCAGAATAAAATCAGCGAAATCATGTACGCGAAATATTTCCGATCATCTAATAAAAATAAAAATTGATCTATTTTGAATCGATATAGTTGCGATATTGCAATTTAAAAAATGTTTTTTTTCCTCTTTTAAAAAAAAAGTTAAGGTTACATTGTGACATTTATTATTAATTCTTAACAAATATAAAAATGTGTTATTAGCAACAATTGACGTAAATATACAGCTGATCGATTAATTGCAGTTTTTATATCCATATTTATATGCATATTGAAATTGCGTAAATATACCGAATGTTTATTTAAGTTAATTAATTACATTTTTTCAACTTCATTCATCACATTAAAATCTTTATAATTAATATTAATAAGAGAAAATGAAAATATTTTACTGTCAAAAAATATGTACAATCTAAAAATTTACAAAAATCTTTTTTGATATTGGACAATTTTTTTTTCTTTTTAACATTCAAATTTATTCTATGAGATTACAATTTGGATATTTTTTAATTTTATTTTCCAATTTACAAGTTATAATATAATACCTATAGTCAATGATGAAGAAATCAATAAAGAGCAAAAAAAGATGTTCGTTCAGAAGATGATACATCTTTAAAAATTGATCTATTTACGAGTAGTTCGCGAGTTATTGCGAGTACGAATTCGAAAGTATTCCATTTGAATATCTATCCGCTGTTTGAATAATGAAACTGCAATTGTGTTTTTAATAGAAGATAATAAAATTCAATTTGACACTTCTTCTAAAATATTTAAATATTTTAGTAATTATCATTATTAAATGATCAATCATGAATATTAAAATCAATCATGAAAAATTAATTATCGTGTATGTATAAATTATGAATGCGATATTTTTTATTCAAGCAATCTGCATAATTGTCGAAAACTCGTTTTAATCGTAAGATTGCGAATAATTAAAATTTTCTTAAAAAGAAAATGAAAAGGAATTTCATATGCAAATTTCTACTTTCCTTTAAACACAGCGGTTAAGTATCGGTATTCTTTTTTATCTTTCTCAACAATAACATTTATTGTTCATCAATTTATAATAAAGTGTGAGCGAAATAAATTTATGATTATGATATTCTATTATCTATCTTGTATATATAATACACAAAATATTGATATATTCTGTGTAGTTTGGAAAGATAACTTTAGAAATTCGTTTTTAAAAACGAAAACAAAATACAAAAATTGATATACAAAAATATCGTTTGAAACTTTATTAAGTTATAATCGTAACAAAATCGTTTAACTATTTTGTAGTTATGTAACGTAATGTTTTATTGCGATGACATTATTGATAAATATAATAATGACAAAAGCATAAATGATTGTTTTGTTTTTGCATACAAGATACCCGTTCAATTTTATAATTATTCACAAGTATTTATATACAATTTAATTAAATACCATGCAATTTTTTCCTAAGTACAATTAAATTACGCGCACAATTAAATGGAAATACTTAATAGTAGTAAATATTTAATCTTGTATCTTGGTCATTTTCAAATATAAACCACCTAACGGTACTAAGATGAACGAAAATGGATCATATTTGTAAGGAATTAATGTTTTAGAGCAAACGTCAACCTTGTAATTACGGAGGATTTTTATCAGACCAATTTTTGTTTGATAGATTGCAAAACGTGCACCTGAAATAAATTAGTTAAACTTAAATAACACTTAAATTACTTGTAACAGTTGATTTAATCTCGAATTTGTATTATATTATATTACGTACCTATACAATTTCTTGGTCCGTGGCCAAAAGGAAAGTAGTGCATGAGATTCCTTTCTTTTATCTTATCCTCGGTAAATCGTTCAGGATCAAACTTTTCTGGGTCTGGATAAATATTTGGATCGTGATGAATGGGAAAAACGGGTATCCAGACCAATGTACCTTTCGAAATCGTTAATTTAGTATTCTGAAACGTATAATCGTTGATGATTAATTCCCTGCTCAAAAATGGCAATGCTGGATACTTTCTTAGCGTTTCTGTAAATAAAATGGAAATAAATTATGCTATTACGGTAGTTAACTTTTTAAAAGTTAGGAAAAAAAAATAAACTAATTAAACAACCGTATTCTTAAAATAAATTTAAACCCTAATTAATCCGTAAAATAATTTAAATCAAAAATTAAAAGCCAAGATAAATTTGAAGAAAAATATCGTAATACTCACCTTGAAATATTTTTCCCAGGTATTGCATCTCCTTAATGGTTTCATACCTCCACTCTCCGTTATTCTTCGCCTCGAATTCCTTAATTTCTTTTCGCAATTTGTCTTGCATATCGTGATTCAAAGCTAACTCGTATAGAGCATTGGATATTGTCGTCGAAGAGGTCTCGAAACCAGCCGCAAAGAAAATATATGCTTGCGCGGCTAACAAATCATCTGTTAATTCTATGTGTATAAGAATAGAAAAATAAACACGATAAAAATATCAAAAATATTTTAATATTAAGTATAGTAAAAAATGATATTAAATATTTCCTCGATCTTCAAACATGTTATATTTCTCCGCAAGTATTCTAGTTTCATCCAACAAGGATTACACTATCTCATCAAAATTTAATCGATTTTAATTTATGTAATAAATTTTTAATATTTATTCGATAAATAAGCCTCGACCAATATTTTCTCTATTTATTTTTACTCGTAGAATCGATTCAAATTTATTAAGAATTTGTATACTGACCAAAATCAGTAATCCTTTCGGGATGTTTCTTAAGTTCCAAAAGTATGTTCATAAAATCAGGTCTGACAATGTTGTTCTTCTCTCTATATTCTATTGTCTCCTTGGTAATTCTCATAAACATTTCCGTTTCCTCGTTAGACAATATATTACAGAGCAAGGAATGCAGGAGCGGCATGCTTTGCAGCAACCTGACCTTCAATATATTTGTAAAATTAGTGGCAAAAATGTTTCTACCAATTCGACGGAATTCACTCTCTTTTTCCGACAATGAATTCATCTTGATCCCAAAGACGCAGCTTCCGATTACGTCGGTGGTGAATTTTGCGGCAACTTCACGCACATTTATGGACTCTTCTATCTTCAACAACGTGTCCATGTAAGTCACAAGATCATTGGAACAGTTAAGAATTTGAGCGAATGTTCCTTTCAGTTTACCCGATGTAAATACAGGAGAGAGATGGCTCCTCAGTGGCCGCCATCTTTTTACTTCCAGAGCGAAGAGATGGTTTGTCAATGGAACTTTCTGTATTCGTTGAAAAATCGTATCGATTAATCATATTTACTTTTCTTATTATTAAAAAAGAATTAAAAACGTTTGTAACGAAAGTAACTTTTGTTCAATTTATTGTTAATAAGATTCATTAAAACTTGATAAATTCCAATTTTTGTTTCATTCCAATATATAAATTGAACAATTGTTGTTTATTTGTTTGAACGCGAGATATAAAATTTCTTTCAAGCTAAATATGCATACTTACTGGATTCGTTTTCAAAAATCCTCGATTCGCGAATTTGGAAAAATCTTTAATCATAACATCTTTGATGAGATCAAAATCTTTGAGGAGCAGGACGGGTCTTCTTCTAAAAAATATTCCAATCATCGATTCGTCCTTATATTCATTGTATACCGTGGTAAGAAATTGTGAAAACGATTCCTTCCCAAACATTACTGTCCGCATATTTCCGAAACCGATGATGGGTTTTGGTCCAGGTATGCCACGATTTTTCCAGAAATTGTTATTAGACGTTAAATAATAATAAAACGTAATAAACACTATTACGAATCCACAAAGTGTTTCCAGATTGATGAACATTTTTTAACACTGGCGAAACTTCGAACAAATTCGAACAAATTTGAACAAATTATTATAATTTGTTGTTTGCTGCGAAATAATATTTATTCAAGCATTATGAGTAATAGAATTTTTGGAATTTAAGATACATTTTTTAATATAGCGTAAAAAATTGCATTACTTTTCTAACTTTTTAAAATAATTTATATTATAATATTTGAAATAATTTTTAGCAAAATGTTCGTATTTTTCATCAATTAGAAACATACATTAAGAATTTAATTTTCATTCAAAAAATTCACAAAATAATTATTTATCTTTAAGTATCGGTATCTTAAATTTTAATTATTATGCAATTTTATAAAAAAGATTTTGTTTCAATTATAAATTTCACAAAATTAATCTTATTTACATTATTTGTTTCCATTATTAGTCGAACTTTTTTTTTTTTTTTATATCGATATTCACTTATAATATATAATATGATTTTTCTTAATTTATTAACTTTTAAAAATAAACAACATTCAACACAATTTTCGTATATTACACTGCAAAATGAGCTTTTTTTACGCGATAATTGAATTATTAACAAATTTTACCTTCTTTTTAAAAATAAAAATACTAATAATCTTTGTGTATCTTTTGATATCTCTTTATATTTCCATGCACAATCTAATTGCACAACTGAACCTTACTTCAATAAATGAACAATATATAAAGGCTTAAGTATCAACACTCACACAGGATAAATAATCAGTTGTCTATATACATATATATATATATAATCAATCATAAAAGTTTATATACATTCTAAGTAAATTTAAAAAAGAAATGTATAATTAAAATCAATTAATTGTGACATTACTATTTTTATATAAAATGATATACAATAATTTTGTTATAAAATTCTATTGATTTCCGGACAAAAATGTATTTAAAAATAAAAAAAGTGATAAAAATTTAGAAATTAATTTATTACAATTAATTTCATGCATTCAAAAAATTTTTTCTTTGCAAAAGAAATTATTATGCGCATGATTTATTATGCTTAATATAAATAAATTCACATTCAAATCAAATTAGATGAATTTTCTAAGATATGAAAAATTTTTATGATTGTATTATGTAAGAATCTAAAAATTCTGAAAATTCACAAAAAAGTGCAAATGTTTTTATGGCAAATTAAGTATAAAGTACAAAAATATTTTATCATATATCTATAGAATTATTTATGAAAAAAATTGTAAGTGATGTATTTTTATTAAACTAGATTTTTATTTTTTTATATAATATAAAACTTCTTTTTCTTCTTAATAATTAGTAAAGTTTTTAACTATTGAAATCGAAATATTAAAAAGAGTAACACATGTAAAAAATATATATCTTCTTATTGAATATATTTTGACAATAAAAATTGTAAGAATCAATTATTTCTATATTCTATATGGTATCCGGTATAATGACAATATTATTAAATAAAAAAAAATATTTCTACACTATTTTTAAAGATTTTATTTAAAATTTATATTTATTTATCTCAAAGAATTCATTTATACATCTCTATGATTTCACTTCATATGTTCAACTTAGAGAGAACATTTTTTTTTTTTTTATAAATATTAGATATAAATATTATAAATATCTTATAATATTCAAAGTTTAATAATTTGGCAATATTCAAACAATTTCATTATTTACTGCAAATAATTACAATTAACGATAGACAATTTTTAAGTGTAGATAATTTTATAAAATTTAGAAATAAATATATTTTTGAATAAATTTATACATTTTTTATTTGTAGTTTGCTACTTAAATAAACAAAAAAGTAAGGAATAAAAAGGATATAATAAAAAAAAATATAATTTTCAAATTATCAATCACAGTTTTATTAATTTTTAATCAATTTCACGTTATTTCGAAATTTTTGACTTATTCTTTCTCTAAATCGAGTTGAATTTATTTTTAAATTAATATCACTTTAGAAAACAATTCATAAATAAAAATATTTGATACTATGATAATTACTAAATCTTAAAATAAATTTTACATTTCGAAATCTCTAATTTTTACGAATATTCCTTAAAAAAATAAAAATATTCATATAATAATATTTATACCAAAGATACTACATCTATACATCTTCTATAATATCTATCTATAATATCTTTAAATAGTTTAAATAGTTAAATAATTAATTAGAAAATTTTTTAGAAATATCATATTCTACTAGTTTTCTATTTTCGTAATTTTTAAAATAAGATCATGTTTGGGAGCTAGAGTAAACGTGCGTGGTTCGTTTATGAATGGAATCTGTGTTTCATTGCAAACGTCAACTTTGTAAGTACGAAGAATTTTTATCAGTCCAATTTTGGTTTGGAAAATTGCAAAACGCGCACCTATAAAAATAATACGTCTTTAAATCACATTTATTATTGATTATTATTGAAAAATATATATTTAAAGTTTTTTAAAATTTTCTAAATATTCAAATATTAAAATTTTATATTGAATACATCCTTGAATAAGATTTATCATATATTAATTTAAATAAAAGTTAAATTAATCGAATATTACGATCGATATTATATCATGTGCTTTGTCAATTGTTTTGCTTAATTGTAGATTTTTTTTTTTTTTTTTTTTACTATACCAATACAATTTCTTGGACCATCGCCAAAAGGTAAATAATGCATAGGATGTCTCGTCGCTTCTGCTTCCTTGCTGAATCGATTAATATCAAACACTTCAGGATTTGGATAGATATCAGGGTCACGATGTATAGCGTATATAGGAATAAAGATTCTCGTATTCTTTGGAATCGTTAAATTTATATTTTCAAAAGTATAATCTTCCAAACTTTGTCTCATTAGAACTGTTAGAGGTACGTATTTTCTTAAAGTCTCTAAAATTAAAGATATAATCAGATAGAAAATTTATATAGCTTTGTAATAATTTTGAATATTTGTTATTTTTTTTTATTCTATTTTAAATTTAAAATAAACTGTCGATATTTATAATTAAATTTAAAACCATCTTTTTATCACGTTCCAGATTTTATTTTTATTTTATCAAAAGATTTTTAGATTTAGATTTAGATATTTAGATATTTCAACTGTTTTAAGTTTATAAAATTTTTATCTAAATGTATGTAATAATATACCTTTGAACACAGCATCTAAACAGGGCATGCTTTTAATATTTTCGTATTGCCATTCTCCATTGTTCAATTTGTGATGTTCTCTAATCTCGTCTCTTAATTTATCTTGAATATCTTGATTTTGCGCTAGCTCGTAAAGGGCAGTAGCTATAGTTAACGAGGAGGTTTCGAAGCCAGCCACGAAGAAAAGGAATGCTTGTGCAACTAGCAAAGGTTCCGTTAATTCTGAAAAGCATAAATAAAAACTTAGTTAAATTACATTCTAATTTCACATTTCAAGAAATGTTGGATTATTTCATTTCATAAATCATGATTGAAAAAATATTCAACTACAACTAAAATTTCCATTTCTCAATCGTTCGATATCTATATCACATTTATCACGTTCTACAATTATATATCTACTATTAATCAATATTATTGTTCGATGAGTAATTTGATCATTGATTAAATCAATCACTTCTTGACGTTTAATTTCTTTTAGAAAATATATTTTTATTGATCTTGATCAATTAATTTTGCAATCATATTGCAATAAAATAAAAAAATAAAATTAAGAAATGTACCTATCACATATATTTTATTATATTTTATCAATTAATTTTTTTATCAACTGTCTTTTTTCTCTGTTTAAAAAAAAATTCATTCTCATAAAAATTAAATCAATTATATCAATTTAATTAGTTCAATTTATGTTATCGAAAATCAAACATATATACCTATGTCTAACTTTTCAGGATGATCCTGAATATTCATAAGAGTATTGATAAAGTCCGGCCTATAGATATTGTTTTTCCTCCTATGCTTTAACATATCCAAAACAACGTCCGTGAAGAAAGTAGTAGTTTCATCTCGTGGCAATATGTGACCCAAAAACGTGTACAATCTTGGTAAATTTTCCCTAAGTCTGATCTTTAATATCTGCTTAAAGCTTGGACCGAAAAATTCCCTTCCTATGTCGCGGAATTTACATTGAACGTCCGACATAGCGTTCATATCGACTCCAAACCCGCAACTGCCAATTACGTCAGTGGTGAATTTGGCAGCCAATTCTCGTATTTCGACACGATCGTTTTTCGATATCAGGTGTTCAACATATTTTTCCAGAGTATTAGAACACTCGATAATCAGGGAGAACATGTCCTTCAGTTTGCCCGATGTAAATATCGGGGACAATCTCGTCCTTAATGGCCGCCATCTTCGTGGTTCCAGAACGAACAGGTGTTGAGAAAGTGGTTCCATCTATAATGAGAAATATTTGTAAACAGAATAATTGCTTTTCTTTTCTAAATTCCAGCATAGCGTGATACATTAATATACATGATTAATTCTAACAGTCTTTTGTTAAAGCTTTTTTCTCTTTACACGAGTTTCGAAGTTCTTTCTTGTAAATTTCCAATATTATAATAAATAATATGAATAATATTATTGTGCGATAAAATTTTTTGTTCGATATATTTTTCTATACGTCATTTATTAATTATCAGTTTATATTTTTATATTTAATCATTAATTATTGCGTTTACTTAAGTTTACACGTGTTAGATTTTATTATAGTAAAAATAGATTGATTAGATCTTAGAGATTGATTGGAGATAATTTGAAGAATGAATAAAATTAAAAAATTTATCTAGAATTTAAAAAGATAAACTATAATATCATTATATATAGAATTATTATAGAATGTAATAAGTTTACATTATATTGCATAAATTTTTTTCTTTATAAGAATATTAAATACTGATTTCATATCAAACTTATTTGATCAAATGCATTTTGTTCTACTTGAACTTTTATTATTTTTCAATAATCTTTTTTTATTATAAAACTTTTTTCTTGTATTCAAAAATTCAAAAATATATTCATGTTTATTTTTCTTTCAATGTTTTTGGCCAATTATATAATTTACGAAATAAATAGAAAGATAAATACAAGGTTTTAACAAATATTAAAAATTATTAAACACTTACCACCTCGTTCAGAGCAAGACCACGATGGGCGAATTTTGAGAAATCCTTTATAAGAACAGTCTTGATTAAATCAGGATCATTTATAGCCAGAACACGCACGTTTCGTATATATAATCCAAATACAGGCTCGTGTTTATATTCTTTATAAAACTTTGTCATCAAATCACCTATTGACATAGTTGCGATTGTCAAACGGAAAAAGTTGCCAAAAACTGGTATTGGCTTGGGTCCAGGTACCCCAAGATTTTTCCAATATTCTTGAGGTTTCAATAGATAATGATAAAAGACGAGAATAAATATGATAAATCCACAAAGAATTTCAAAGACAGCCATTTTTTACAGATTCTCAGATCGAATCCTTGCTGATAAAAATCGTTTTATAAAAATGGTTTGTAAACTGTAAAACATATAGAAAAATTTATGATATTTATTATTGCAATTATTATTGTAATTATATACAAATTGAAAAATGTGAAATATAAATTATATACCGTAACTTCTTGATTGAATTATAAAATTATGGAAAATATTTAATTTCGATATATAAATTATTTTATATTTCCTATTTATTTTAATTTCCATCACGATTTTTTCTATCGTAGATAGAAAAATATATTATACTCTTTATAATATACCTCAAGTTAAATACACATTATAAAAAATGTAATGAATTTTAACTTAAGTATCATTTGTTTAAATATTTTCCATAAAAATATTATTTTAAATGTTCATAGTTTATGTAAAATAAAATATAAAATAACATAAATATATAAATAATTAAAATAAAATAATGAATTAAAAGAAATTAATAATTTATCTTGAATACTGAATTTTCTTAAAAAAGAAAAAGTATTTACATGATACACTGTCACTGTTAGATATAAAGCATAGAATTCTAGTGATATACTGTTCTCTTATTATTGCTTATAAAATTATAAATACTTCTAAAATGAAAAATCAGATTGAGTCGATATATTCTATTAATTCTTATCATTCATTACTTGATAATAATATACAAATCTAATTAAACGTTGATTTACGATAAAAGAATATAATATATAATATATAGAATATTTTATTATGGAATAAAAGTAATTATATTTCTGCAAGATAGATATTTTAAATGATTAATATATTTCGATAGATAGTGAATGATATTCTATATATTTTCTTGACTTAATCTAAGGATTAAAAATGCAGATATGATCAAGTTTTAATATCAAGATTTTCGTATTATTAAATATAAATATAAATATATTTTATTAAAATTTAAATTTCATTTTTTCATTGTCAGCATTGTCAGTATCTTGTATTTAATAAAGAATATTGATTTCGAACTTGAGATAAATATTAATTATTATTTTGATTATTACAATATTTTTGTCTCATATTATAGCAATCTTTTTCTTTTGTATTTTTGCTATAATATAAATTTTTTATAAAAAATGGAACTTATAGAACATAATAATAAAGTTGGACTATAATATTCTATATATCTTATAAACAATTTTAAAAAATTGTTTGGATATTGAAAATTACACGCTTGTAATTTTATTTGGATATTGAAAATAGAAATTGAAAATTACAACTGGTCTATTTATTTTTTTATTATCATTCATTTTAAATTATCATTAATAATTGTTTCCTTGATTTATTTCATTTTTCTATATAATATTATCGATATAAAGAATATTAAAAATATTCCACTCCTATAAATTATATCTATTCGTTTTTTAAAAAAAATTATATTTAAAGTTTGGTTATAACTTTTTAAAATTTCAATTGATCAAATTATTAATTAATATTATATACATTATATATTATTATAATTAATGATAATTATTATAATTATATTATATTATATAATAATATATTATAATAATTAAATTTTAAATTATCATATTAATATGTTGAATAATCTAATAATTGATATTAACTTATCCTTCATTTGTAAAATATTTATATATATGTAAATAATGTGATTAATAATAAAATAATATAAGATATATATATGTTATAAAATAATTGTAACTTTTTAAAAAAAAAAAAATAAATCGAAATTTTTCTTTTCTTTTATCATTAGTGATATAAAAATTGATTATTGATTGAACATTTTATTATTTGTAAAGATTAATCTATAGAAAAAGAATTGATAATAATATATATAAATATTTTAAAATATAAAGAATAGGATTAAAAGCTATTGATATTTCATAGAAATATATTTTAATATCAATTTATTTTATCAAAATGATTTTTCAATATCTTTAAACATTTAATGATAAAGAATTACGGCATTTTGAAACAGGTAAAATAAATAAATATTTAAATTAAAAAGTAAAAAATAATAGATTAATATTACTTCCAAATGGAAAATAGTTTTCAATATTGTATATTTTAAAACATATTTTAAAACTTCTGTTCTGTTTTTTATTTATTTAAGTTTATAAGTATAATTGAAAGTTATTGCTTTTTCAAATATTTACTTATCAATTCAAGTACATTCACAAGATTATTAGTTATAGCTACTATTATTAGCGATTAAGTTATTAAGATAAAATAAGAAACTTTTATTATAATTATTTTTATAACTTATTAAAGAATATTAATTTCTTAAATATAGATATCGTATAAAAATTTTTTCTTCCCAATAAGTTCGATTATAATTTTATTCACATATTTTATTTTGAAACTTATATTTGTATTATTGAGCTGCAATGAGGAAATTTTTAAAAGAGAATCTTGGTCCTATCTTACAAATTTTTCTTTAATTCTCTAAAATTAAATTGATTTAATTGATTAAAATGATAAATTCTTTATTTTATTCAGTAATTTGCATAAAATAAGTTAACATTTGTCACCCTTCGTTATATCTTATTTTGTATATTTAAATATATCTATTTATCTAATCTTCATTTATTCTTTTTAAATATTTATAAAATATCAATATAATAACAAATAGTTTAAATATTATAGTTTATTTATTGTTCGTTCATATAATTCGATATAATTTTTTATAGACAAAAAAATATTTCTTATATTCCCTCTTTTTTCGACATATGTTATTTGAATTTGTTCATGCTTGATTGGCAGCACGCTACGTTGCGATTTTGCTAGATTATATGCTCTGTGATTGGCCAATGTTTTTCTTGTTAATAAAGTCGTAATAAAGTCGTAAGTTTTTAGAAAATATTACTTGAAATCTTCAATTCTTCAGGAATTTTCAGTTAACAGATTTTTTTCATTTTTGGGCATCTTATGTATATATTACTATCGGTATTATATATATTATATAGTACTACTATTGGTATATATTATATTATATAGTACTATTTTTGCAATATTGCATTGTCATGATGATACACATATTGCATATGATATGCATATTCATGAAATTCTGATGATGAGAATTGTAGTTGTAATTTGTACTTCGTTAATACGCACAATTTATATATTAAGTAACTGTTTATTGAAATATGATATATATTATTGGATCACGTAATATAATGTACAGTATTAATATATCAATCGATTTGTCTTAAGAAATACATTACAAAATTATATAAATTATTTTGCAGAAAGTTATTTTTTCTAGAAAATTTCATTTTATATTTTTGTGTCGAAACAGGTAATTTAAAAATGCATTAATATTTATTATATAGATATAATAGAGCAATATGTATATTAAATTATTATTGTTCGAATTATTTTCTATATTTTCGAATTTTTATTTCTCATTTCTGATAAATACAGGAATTTTTTTTATTTAAACATTAATAACTACTGGCGCTGAAGTGACAATCGTTTTTCAAAACTTTTAATAGTACATTTGTTTATATTTTCGTATTATTTCACTAAAAATTTTCGTTTTTGTTATACTATTCCTTTTTCTTTTTATATAAGAATAGAAATCTAGAAAATATTTAAAAAACGTATTTATTTAATTTTTTACACATAAAAACAGAAAATATGTGTACTTTCATACATTTGATATAGGTTAGAGGTTATCTATTTTTTTATCTCATTATGTAGTCATTCTTGTTCGATTTCTTCTGAATTAATATTTAATAAACAACGGCAGTGTTGTAAAAATCTTCAATTATATATTAAAAACATTACAGGTAATATTGTATTTTACTATGTGCTTGTTTCATCTTAATATTGTGCATCTTAATTTATATATTATTACTACAATAAAATATTTTGTAAAAGTCAATAAAACATATCTATTATAAAAAGATATTCATTCACATCAATCATCATTTTATTGTAAAAGGAAAGTAGTAATTAAGAGCAACTTTTATTGTTAAGTTGGAGAATGGCTCTTGGTATTATGAATTTTGCCCGTAGGAATTCAAACAAGTTTCCATTAGTTTCCATCATGTCTACAACAGTATCAAATGATGAACGTATGTTAAAAGGAATAAGAAGAGTAATTCCAAATTTGAATAATACCAAATATAAAGGTCAAGATGGTCGAATTGGTATATTTGGTGGTAGTCTTGAATATACTGGTGCACCATATTATGCAGCAATGAGTGCACTCCGCACTGGATGTGATTTAGTGCATATATTTTGCGTAAAAGATGCAAGCTTTCCTCTGAAATCATTTAGCCCAGAACCTATTGTTCATCCAGTTTTAGATCAATATGATGCAATTAAACAAATAAGACCATGGCTTGATCGTTTACATATAATTATTATTGGACCAGGTCTTGGTAGAGATGATAAAGTATTTAAAATAATTGTTGAATTAATTTCAATTTGTCGTGATATGAAAAAGCCATTGGTAATTGATGCAGATGGATTATTTTTGATTAGCCAGAAACCTGATATAATAAAAGAATATCCAGGTGCTGTCCTTACTCCTAATGCAATGGAATTCAGTCGTCTTGTTAAAGGAGTACTCGATAAAAATGTTCAACCTACACCAATGGTTAAAGCAAATGATGTTAAACATTTAGCTGATGCACTTGGGAAAAATGTAATAATCTTACATAAAGGAGCAAAGGATGTAATTGCAGATGGACATAAAGGTACAGAAGCTGTGTCATGTGGATTAGCTGGTTCTGGACGAAGATGTGGAGGTCAAGGAGACTTATTGTGTGGAGCATTAGCTGTATTTTGGTGGTGGGCTATTTGTGCAGGGAATAATGAAAGTGCTTTGTCCCCACCAATTGCTGCAAGTTATGCTGCAAGTAGATTAGTGAGAGAATGCAATTCATCTGCATATAAGTTAAAGCAAAGAGGAATGTTAACAACTGATATATTGGAACAAATACAACCTGTTTTTGCCAGAATTTTTGAGACTCATTTTAACAAGTGAGCTATTTAGTTAAAGTGACTATTATACATGATTTTGATGGATTTTACATAAAACAGAATTATTTTTATTAA